GTACCCCCTATGCTACAGCGAACGAGAAACGCCCTCGGCTGGTCCACCTCTGCGATTGCAACTGATTAGCTTTCGTACTGTGGACTGGTAGCTCGGCGGAGATACGCCCACCGAAGGAAGGTGACAACTCCCGTAAGGTGTAGGTAAGTCATGCCTCGCGTAGGCCCTATCCTGTCGTAGGGGCTCGCGAGAGGTATGGCCGGCGCACTCGGCCGGAGCGGCGTAAGGAAGCTCCATCATGTATTTGCGACTAGGATTTAGACCAACTCCTGCGTGACGCGGCCGGGAGGGTCCCTCGCTGCCCTGGTGCGGTGCCGGACCGATGCGCTCGACAACAGGGGACTCTGGCTTCGGCCTGAGGTGCCTGGCCGGGGATTTGAGCTGTCGTCGACGGTGGATGATGGGAGGACAGGGTCCTACAGCGGCCTGATCGTCATCCTTTTTCCGAAAAAAAAGAAAATAACAGACGAGAGGAGAGGAGACGAAAGACGAAGCGGACGGGAGCGGAATTCCGTTCCCCGAGGCTCATGGTTCGCGTGGGCCTTGGGGGTGGAGGCCCCGAAAACAGGTTCACGCTTCGTTGTCGGACTCGTCTAGTCCATGCAGACGGCGCGACACGGGCTCGCCCAGGGTCGGACAGGTTGACGGAACCCAGGTTCAAAAATGGGCAGGGAGCGCACCCGCATTACGGGAGAGTTCGGGGAATCGAGTAGCCCTTTCGTACCCCAGGACCAACCGTCGCCACGAGCACGAGTCTCAATGGCAACACCAATGACAATTAAACCACGGTCGCCAGATGGCGTGCACGGCGGACCAAGGCACGTACCTGGCATGCACAACAGATTACCCAACCTTTGGAGTTATGCACACATCACACGGGGACAAAGCAGCAATTGAGCTTCGTCTTCAAAATACAGAATTCTCTCAACTGGCCGCTCCGGGCCCAGTCCCCAATCCATCAAAACCACCGACAACCATAGCCACAAGGCCCTGCCGCTATCGGCGTCTGATCCCCACCACCGCTCAGTCCCTCTGACTGCCTTACCCCACGTCTACCGCTACTACGCCACCCGCCGTCACTCCGCCCACCACGGGGCACATCGAGCTTTTCCGGCGCCACGGGCTTCGCGTATAGCTTGTGCAACTTGCAGCCGAGATCAAAGAGAGTGAGAGGAAGGGATTGTGGGAATTTATAGCGCAGAAGGCAACAGAGAGGTTGCGCAAAGCGTGGGGTGTAGATGGTCAAAACAGAAGAAGGGCAGACGTTCCAGAAGGGTCGAAGAAGGCGAATCGAATGTTCTGCGTGATTGGGGTGGTTGTCCAAGTGGGGTGTGCTTCCCGTGGCCACCACATTGCCCAGACCATCCCAATCAGACAGCCACTCGTTCGCAGGGAAAGGCGAAAGAGGGGATCGGACTTCACTTAGAGGGAAGACGAAGAGACATGAAGGAGGGGAATGCCTAGCAAGAAGGGAAGATGGCGCGGGGATGCAGAGCGGGGGAACAGGTTTACGCGGTGAGCAAAAATTCAAAAACCGACGTGGGCCTTAACTTCAAAATTCCTACTCCCTCTAAGTCCCAATTGTTTCTTGCATTTCTTGGCTCGACCGCTAACTGGCTACGCCAGACCCGAATTACATTTTTTATTCCTCCCCCAGTACCTTTAAACAAAAAGGACAAAGAAAAAGGAAAATGAAACACCGCTTTTCCCCATTATCTTGAATCCATACTTCGGGGTTCTACGTGGGATTTTCCCTTAGGGGTACGGGAAACTGTCAAGTGTGGATCCTGGCTTATCACATCTGTAATGCGCAGGGGGGTTCGAAAAAATACCAGTCTCCCGACTACTGTATAGCCTACCGCATCGCTATGGATCTCCCCTCCTATTGTACACCTGATCGGGCGGCCCTTTCATCGTCCGCTGGCTTGGTCAGAATTTTTTTTTAATTTTTTTTTTTATGTACAGCCGTGACAGATCCTTCAAATGGCGGCTCCAGATATGGCTCCCATGTAGGATCAGGACGCGGAGGCCCTTCGATCGCTTCAAGCCTGATGGTTGTAGGCTCCACCAAGAACGCGACATCCGTCAGGTGGACCGGCCAGCTCAGAGGAAATGCTAAGGTCAATGACCGGGGCACGCCTGAGTGGCTCGCGGAAGCGGAAAGGTCCTGCGAGGATGAGGGATCCGGGTGTGGGATATGGTACTCTTCCCACTCCTCCTCCTCCTGCTCGTGCTGATGGGCCGGCTCCATCAAGATTGAGGTTGGGAAGGAGCGGCGGCTGAGGTGTCGGCTCTGGAGGGTTCCTGCGTATCTGAAATCTGCTTGTTTCAGCTACTTCCCCTGGCGGAGGTCCCTCGATCGGTGTCGCCTTGCTTTCGGGATCTTGCTTCTGCACCCGCCCGACCTTGTCCACCTTTTCTCCAGGTCCCACTCGACTTTCTTGCGCTTCTGGCGATGGCTGGCGACGTCTTTTCTTGGGCGTCTTCCTGATGGCCCTCAGGGCTACTGGCTTGGGGTAGGATGAGGGAGGCCGCATCGACTTTCGATCGGCAATGCTCACTAGGAGTGGTTTGATTTTCAGTGAACCAGGCTGCGGGGACTGGCCACCATTGCGGGGCCCTCAGGCATATCAAGAAATCAAGACCCTCTCACGTGAGTTTGAGAGCACCTTTCTTGGAGATGAGAGTCTCAAACCTATCTACTTCTGCCCTTCTTAATCTAAGTCGAGTCCTGTTCTGAGAGGAAGGCGGCAGGCGGGATTGCAACCCGTAGGACCTCAACAAGACTCAATGTGAAGTCAGCCCACTGACTGTGGGAGCTCTGCCGGGACTCAGGAGGAGTTCTCGAGGCAGGGAACTGAGACGTAACCTTCCATCCCCTTCTATAAACGCAGTTATAACCCTTATCTGCATTCCTTGCTATGTTTTGACTGAGTACACTATGTGCATCCCTACTTTGACTTTTGGTTTGACTTTCAGGATATGATTCAAACTAAATAAAGGAATGAATGCGCAATGTCAGTTTCAATTTTATTTGTTTGACTGAATGCAGATTGTGGGATGACATCTGGGGAAGGATGGGAGGAAGGTAGTATTGCTTACTTGACTGGGTCTACCAAAGGCTGGGCAAGTCTCCATAAGTTTGAGGAGACCCAGTGTTATGTTTATTTTGAATTGTCTGAAGAACCGGACATGTTCAATAAGTTTGGGTGGTCTCGTTGCTCTGACTTGTGAGGCATGACTGTGATTGATTTCCAAGGACCAAGCATGTTTCATAAGCTTGGGTGGCTTGGCCGCCTTGTTTACTTTGGGTTTCTTTCAGTTTCTTTAGTTTTTGAACGCGGAGGTCTGAGCATGTTCCATAAGTTTGGGTGGTTAAGTCTCTTCCTGCATTGGTTTTAGAATAAATGAACCAGGTTGAGGACCAAGACATGTTCCATAAGTTTGAGTGGTCTTGGTCCAACGCCACGCACATGCTGGAACCAGCAAGCTATAACTTGACTATACTTTATTACTATTCTAGCTATGAACAGGCTAGTCAGACACTGTGTAACCGGTTGAACGCCGTGAACGCGCGTTCACTTTCAAACGCGCGCGTTCTATCCCCCCTGCCCCGCGTTCAATCGCGTTTAAACGCGCTGCACGTGCGCGCGCGCGAAAAAATTGAACGCGGTCCCCCGAGGCGCGCGCGCGCGACTGGGGCTGCGGGTTGGTGGTCCGAGTTCAAGAAACCGCCAAGTGCGAAAACCGCCCCCCGGGACCACCACATACACCCCCCCCCACCTGCGGTCCCCACCCCCGAAACCACCACCTGCCAAGCCCCGGCTCCCCTACCCCCACCCAAAGGAGGGCCACCCACCCCCGGGGACCTTTTTTTTTTTTTTTTTCCCCAGCCCACAATTACAACCCCCCAAACCACGCCACCCATTTAGACACACACACACTGACACACACACACACATACACACACGCACATGCACACACAAATTCACACCGTTGCACACACACGGGCACTTTTTTTTCGCCAACACGTACAACCCTCCAAAATGCGCCACCCATTTACACAAACAAATACACACACACATTATCACATTCATAAACACACACACAAACT